TTACATACACGTCAAGATGCCGGAACAGAAGATAATGGAACTTTCTACAACTGTTCCTGAGGCTGATGATATTTCTATTTGAAGTGCAATTATCCAAATGAGATCTTTCCTAACTATTTAATCTCAAGTAACTGAGAGGTTCATCGTACATCTGTCGATAGTCTTGAATTTCTGGAGAAGCTAACGTATGCAATTAAGAACAACAATAATATCTATGAAAATCATCACTGCGTTCAATTAAAAAAAAGATAGCCTTCAGAGCTGTTGGCTGAATGTCGGCAAATGTGACCGCAACGATGAATGGAACATAGGTACCGAGCTGCTTAAATCCAGTTACTGAGGGAAAGAGAATCGGATTCAACTTTGCTTACAGCTTTTATAAAATAAAAAAAAATACAAAATAAAGACAGGAAAAAAGTTAATAAGCGAGGAAGGAAAGGAGTATTTACGATTTGAATGTGTTCCTCATGGAAAACTAGATTCAACTCAGTAAAAGAAGTTTGGCTAAAGAAAGTCAATGAAAGTCATTTGTTATTTATCAGCTTTGTTTTGTTTATTGAGAATATAGGTAGCCTCTTGAGAAATGCTCAGAACCAAAGATTGGTTAAAGAAAGGGAAGTCATCGTTTGCTTAAAACAAATTCAGGGATACAGTTCATCGAAACCGATATTTATTCTTTTTCACTCTTTCGTCTTTTTTTTCTTCTTTGATAGTCATATCACCTGCACTTTGGTTTTACCGCGGGTACTGAAATTTGTCTCTCGGCGATGTCTACATTTTGAATAAATGACCTCGCCGAAGCACAGAAAGTTAATGAGTGTATGCGGTCGTTTAAAGCAACGGAGATATCATATTTCCTGTAATCCTCCAAAATATCTTTAGTGAAATTAAAAAAGAATACTGATCTGTTTCACTGCTTGTGTGAATTTTTTTTCGTTTCAAAGAGCAAAAGCCGAAAAAAGACAGGAAAACGTTGCATAGTCGCCTTTTGCAATGATATTTTTCCCGTTAACGTCGCGCTTAACTCCTCTATTTTAGAACAACTTCCTTTCTCATACGTGATGATTCTGAGACAAGCTGTCAACTGTCATTCAACATCAATAAATTATTCTATTTCGGTACTCCCAATTCCATCACGTCCTTTATTCCTGTTTGCCTTTAGATTCAGATCACGCCTTTGGTTGAACTACCTTTCTTAGTAATGACTTGTTTTTCCTCTTTTATATATAAATACATTTCTCTAAAAAATTGTTGTTTTCACCATTTACCAATCATACCAAAAGGTTAGAAAGAATTATAGAATTCAAAATCAGTTTTTTTTGGAGACAATCTAACTTCAACTGACTCCTTACCTAAAGAAAGTTTTTTGAGTACAAACTGTTAGTCGAAATTAACTGAAAGTAAAATGATATCTGAAGATTCTTAGTTACTCAATTTTTAATGTTGCGTAAACAGTCGCCTCTGCTTTTTTAAATAGAGTATGGGCAGCTTCTCAATTAAGAGCTCTTGGCATACGACTAAGGACTCTGACGAAATTATTAGTATTAAGCAATATATATGTAAACAATCAGCTGTGTTTTCTATCATAAAGCATAGGTAGGATTTAGAGTTAGACAGAGAACTATTGGTCAAAGAAGAAACCGATAATCGGAAACTACTAATTGTTGATTGGTTTTATAGAGTGGATGCAGCTCTTTTGAAAGAATAGTTCGGTAAAAACTGCGAGAAAGTTTTTCCGTAAGGTAAGAGCACTCTTTCACTGTTTTTCGATTTTTTCCAATGAATAGAGTATGACGCTTTGCATAGAGGGAGCGAAATAAAACAATTTAATAATTTGTCTAAGCAATCAGCTTTGTTTTCTTTAAATAGAGGCAGCCTCCAGATAACCACTGACTGCATAACAACTGATCTCTCGAGAATGTCAGCAAACGTGACTGCAACGATGAATGGAATACAGTCCATGTCGAGCTGCTTCAACCCCACAGCGGCAAGAATCGGTGAAACCTTTGCTTACTGCTTGCTATTTCTTGTTTCGTTGGTTGGAAATACCTTAGTTGCAATGATTGTCTTCAAGACAAAAACTCTAAGAAAGCCCATTAATTTCTTGATTGTTAACATGGCCATGTCCGATTTGCTTGTTCCGATTTTCCTTTTTCCTCGTAAATTGGTTTTGACATACACTCGCTCCTGGGTGATAGGCGGTCCGCTCGGTCAAGTGTTATGTAAGCTGAGTATCTATGCATCTAATCTGTCCTTTACTGTGTCTATTCAAAGCCTGGTTTTAATAGCGGTCGATCGATTTGGAGCTGTAATGTTTCCCCTCTGTTCCCCGCTGATTAATTCAAAGAGATGCCGGGTCTTCATTCTCGCCACTTGGATCATCGCTATCGCTATCTTTTGCCCAAACCTGTTCGCCTCGAAAGTTATCGAGTCTCCAGAGGGGCTGGCGTGTGTGGCTGATTGGAAGGGCGCACTAGGAGAGGCGTTGTCCTACAAAAACTTTGTTTTGGTGATGCAAGTTGCAATTTTTTATGTCCCTTTGGTTTTTATTACAATACTTTACTCCGCCATTACGTTAAAAATCAAATCCCAGAAGATTCCAGGAGAGCAATCAACTAACACAAGAGAAAAACGCTTGAAAAGAGAGCGAAATGTTCTTAAACTGTCTGTCGCCATCGTGTTAGGGTTTGCATTGTGCTGGCTGCCCTTAAGTATTAAGTGGTTCATGCTCTTCAACTCAGACCGAACAATAACATCATCTTGTGGCTTCTATTATTTCTCGTCTGTTTCCTTATTTCTAGCTTGGTCGAACTGTGCGATCAACCCTTGGATCTGTATTTGTTTTGGTGGAAATTATCGTCAAGGTCTCAAGAATCTTCTCGGTTGCTCTTCTTTTGGTCCTGACGTTGCTCGAGATGCACCGTAGTGTGACCCCCGAGACTCTAAAACTTTATTTCACTTAAGGATTAATTTTTTACTGTGTTTTCATTTCATTTCAAGTCAGCAAGGTAATTGGAGATTCTAAAGTGAAACGCCTTATTGAAAAACCATAATTAATTTGTTGAATTATTGATTAACGAAAAGGAATGGTGTAAATTGTCGGCTTGATGTCTTTTTAAGGCATAATAGATCAAAATATGGACTAACTCTGGTCTTTGCTAAAAGTGGCATTTGCAGATCGTCAAAAAAAGACGTGATAACTCCCTCTATTTAATACTGAGACTTGTTGACAAATTTTAAGCATTCGAATCTTCCTTTGTCAGCCCACTTACTATAAAAATGTACATAAATAAACTTATCAATAGAGAAGCTTTGTCCAACGGTCAAACCGTTGTTTGAACTTTTGCGCAACGAATGTTTCTGTGAGCTATATTAATCTGATCACCTAATTTAAGGACTTTATTTGAAATTTAAGAGTCTTTTGACCGAAACGTTACACATTAGGAGACACATATTATGTAGTGGATAGAAGACATCTAAAATGTTTATCAGTAGCCGAGTCGAGTTTGTATCATTACCATAATTGTCATGATATGAAATAGTATTTCCTTTCAAGATGACAATGCAGAATGGAAACATGATGGTTAATAAAATAAAGAAGCATCACTTTTCTTCTCGTCTGTGAAACAGAAAATCTATTTAAAAGCTTAGTTGCATTTTTTTTATTCAATACTAACTGCGTCAAAGCCGTCGAGAACTCAAGTTGCCTTAAACTTCCTTTTCATTTCAGAAAGTCGGTTATCGGGCGAATATCAAGGTAAACAAACTTTTCAAAATCGGATTGACTCTCTTAACTTTAGTGTTGGTTGCAAATGATTTGCAAATTAACAGGATACATGATCCTTTCGATTTCAGTTAATGAGTTGACGATTTGATGTTCCTTGATGTTCCTTGCCACAATAGCCATCACTAAAAAACGAAACCGGGTTTCATTCATGTTGTAGACAGTCATGAAAACAACAGGTGCAGGCTGTGAAGCCAGACAGAAAGTCGGCGAGGGAGAGAGTCATGTCAAATTCACCAACAAAAAGTTCACTTTGGTAATGAAACTTGAAAATTAACAAGTGCAGCTGAAGAACTAAATCTCAGTGACAGAGAAAAAGTCTCTTAATTCTTTGGAGGTAAAGTAATATCAACTCAAACGCTTATTGACCAAAAAGCTTTCTCACCACGTAAAACCGTTACTTTTAGCTCTGCAGTTAGAGGCTTCGACTTCCATAGATTTGCTCGATCTTAGTCGGGGTGGTGGCGAGTATAGATTGGTGAAGGTAAGACCAACCTACACCAGGAAAGCAATTGAGTGGTTCCTTTCCGTCAGCCAGCTGCTTTCTCGCAACAGAGGAAAAAAGTGAGCTTATTTTTTTACTCTAGTCACATCGTAAGCAGCTAAGTTTGGGTTTGAACAGTAGACTCAATGGTATATTTTCCCGTTACAGATCAGTATCCGTTTGAATAGCTTGCATTTGGTAGAGTTGGCAGCCCTTTAATCCCAAGGTAAATCGGACAGAAGTTAAATGCATTTTTTTTACCTAAAAATCATCATGGTAAACTGTTACAAGCGTCGAGAGACAATAATTCACGTATTTCCTAAACATACGAAGACATATTTCTCAAAAATGTTATTATCACTGATATCGAGCATATTGGTTTTTTCTTATTATTTTTATAATTTAACATTATAATACCAATTATAGAATATTTTTAACCATACCATTTCGGGTAACTATTGATATGTATGACGACGCAGTTTTCTAATCTCGGGAAGTTAAGGATATAGAGTACGAATTAAGACTATAAAGGTCGGGAGGTGCTTCATAAAGTTAAACAGTTTTAATTACTAAGTAGATAATCAGGTCCGGATATGTGATGTTATTATATATGTAAATAATCAGCTGTGCGTGTGTTTTATGTCAATAGAGCGTAGGTAGTTAATCTTTAGAGTCGCAGAACTGCTGGCTGATGAAGAAACTTATCTCTTTGTTTTGAGAATGTCGGCAAACATGGCGGTAATGACGACTGGAACACAGTCCACGTCGAGCTGCTTCACCCTCTCAGTAGAAAGAATTGGTTACACTTTTGCTTACTGTCTACTATTTGCTGTTTTGCTGACTGGAAACACCTTGATTGGAATTGTTGTGTACAAAACCCGAAGTCTGAGAAATCCCGTCAACTATTTTATTGCAAACATCGCCATATCTGATCTGCTGTTTCTTATTTTCCTGATTCCTCAGGTTTTAGTTCAGTTGAATACCAACACCTGGCTGATCGATGGTCCTCTTGGCCAAGCATTGTGTAAGCTGTCTGGTTATTTAGTTGATGTATCAAGTGCTGTGTCAATTCAGAGTCTCGTTTTAATAGCAGTAGATCGATTTAGAGCTGTGGTATATCCCCTTCGTTCCACACTGATTAGTTCAAAGCGCGGTCGGTTCTTCATTCTCGCCACTTGGATCATCGCTATGCTTGTCTTCCGCCCATCCCTGTTTACTTGGAAAATTGTGGAGCATCCAGAGGGGCTGGCGTGTGTGAGGCGGTGGAAAGCGGCAGTTGGAGAGTCTTCGCTCAAAGAAACCTTTTCTGCCGCGATGACTATTTTATATCTGTATTTTCCTTTGGTTTTTATTGGCCTTCTGAACCTTATTATTTCTTTAAAAATGAAAGCCAATAAGATTATAGGCTTGCAATCGGTAAACGTTAGAGAACAACGTTTAAAGAGAGAGAGAAATGTTCTGAAGATGTGCATTGCGATTGTGTTGGTGTTCGCAGTATGTTGGGTGCCATTTAGCATCTGGTGGCTGTTGTTCCTGTGTTCTTCAGACAGAACAATATCATCGTGTGGCTTTCAATTCTTTGGGGTTATTGCTGTATTTGTGAGGCGATCAAACTGTGCTGTCAATCCTTACATTTGTTTTATTTTCAGTGGAAACTATCGTCAAGGTCTTAAGTACCTTTTCAGTTGCTTCTCTGTTGGTCAAACGCTTAATCAAATTGCACCTTGGTTTGACTCCCAAGCTATTACCTTAAATTATTCACGCCCACAAAGGGATTAATTTCTTGATAACCTCCATCAAAAATATATTTTTGATTTGCTAATGATTGTAAGGTAAATATTATCATCTGTTTTTATTGACCGGGCCGTTTGCATGGCATGTAAAAGAGTTTAGAGATTGGTTTCGTTACTCGTTATGTTATCTGTCGCCATAACAAAGTAATAAAAACGAGATTTTTAGCATGATCGTGACGTATTTTGATTTGTAACACATGAGTGATCACAGAGAGCTTTTTATTATAGTGACCAATCGTGTAATAAAATTTAGACGGGGAAGTGGCAAGTCGAGATAGGTCAGGGTAAAAATATTTAATCGGTTCCTCACAATTAGCAAGTTATCGACTCATAGCTCAAAGGTCGGCTTGTTTCTTCCCTTTAGTTCTATGGCGGCACCTGAGTTTGAGGTCTCTTTCAGGGCGTCCCTGTCGAAAGAATTGATCCGTAAGATAGAAAGGATTCAGCGCCGGGCTACAAAATACATCCTCAACTTGCCTTTCCTCTGCGAGGAATCCTTTAAAGACGGAATGATTAAACTGACCCTTCTTTCCGTGTCCTACTGGCATGAGTATCTAGATATAGTTTTTTTCTTTAAATCTGTGACTGGGCTGGTTAAGGTTAACCCTACTGTAATCCCCACCAGGCGCACCCGCTCAAGAGCAACCAAATCCAGTAGCAACACAAATGTAACTTTATTTGTTCCCAAAATATGTAAAACAACTACACATCAGAGGTCTTTTTTCATCCGCAAGGTGAAAATGTGGAACGCTCTAGCTGATGACATTGGTCTTTCTGTAACTATCTCTTTCAGTTCATTCAAGGCACACCTATTCAGTTACTATAAGCAATCACTCTGTAAATCACATGACCCTGAAGATCCTCGCTCATTTAAGTCTGTCTGCAAAAGTTGCAACAAAGCCCGTAATCTGACAAGAAACACTGATTGTTGCTACTAACTACTCAGTAATCTTTATTTCAATTTTTATTTCAATTTTCTGTGTTCCAGGCAGGCAGTAATTGGCGTAAGCTGTTGCGGAGTCCCTGTTTGTATTGTACCATTTACATTTTTTGTTTTGTTTATGTATATTTTATATTAAGTTGGCGAAGTTAATAAAATAAAGTTTGTCCATTGGAGTTGAAAGAAGTCGACCGAGTACTTTACTGTTTGAAATAAATTTTAACCTTTGCAAATTGGATTCCTAATTTGTATCTGATTTGAAATCCGATAGCTAAGTTCCAATGCTCGATGTCTCTTCACTTTTCCAATATTTGGTGAAAAAAATTACAAAAACAAAAGGCAGACAGCCCATTTTGTCTGCGCACATTCTAATTCTAATTACACTTTTTTAGCCCAAGAAAGGACACACACGGCTTTTCATAATGCGACTTTAAGCTTTTCCCTAAACCGAAAGGCCGGAACATGTCATTAAAAAAACTGTCAATTATATTGCACTTATTTATGAATACATCACGAATTTTGTGTAATTTTCAGTATCAGAAAGGCCACAAAAAGTACACAGCCTCTAGTTGACGTACAAGACACACTAACTGTCAGACAGATTCAACAACAGTAATGGCTTTCTGTCAAAAACTTTCTTGCAAATAGAAAAAAATATACTGTCAGGAAAGAAAATTTTTCATGGGTGGCGGATGGAAAATATGGGTCCAGAAATCAGCAATTTTAGCCATGCAATACCAAACTATTGCCGTCACTTTGTTCAGATTATCGCGAGGAAATCAATGTCAGGAAGAGGTGGGAGACTGCCTTAGTGTTTGTTTCAACGATATAAAAAGTTTTCTTGCTATATAATTTCCAGCGAAAGCAATATGAAATACACAGATTTTTGTCGCTCACAACTCTAACCTCCTCTGTTTGCCTTTTTTAGAGAGATCTCCGACAAGGCTTCGATGCCGAAAGAAAAAGCAGAGTGAACGAGACTTTGAAAGTCATCACAAATGTTAACGAGATTCAGTTTCGAGATCGGATAAAGGTTTTGAGAATCTCGATTTTGGAAGGTATCCTATTCACACCGTCTGTTATTTTGTCGGGCATAACTCCTGGATCTGCGTCTCGAGAAAAATATCATCAGTTTCCTCCAAACGTGCGGTCGTTCATTGTTGTACTTAGTGGATTTATCTTTTGAACGAACCTTCGCCAAAACTCACAAGAGATTCAGTCACGCTACAAAGATAAGGTATGGGAAGCTGTTTTTCTACTACTTTATACACGGTTTTGGGCGATGAATAACTCATGATACTTTTCAGAGACTGAATGAAATGTTTTCGGTTGACTCCTTTTAGAAACCGTGCTAAGCAACTGTTATAAGTGCATGTCTTTGGACACAAGGATTCGTTTCTTTCTTTTGTATATCAATTTATAATTCTCTAAAACTGATTTCACCACCGATCGTCTTACTACTAAGTATTTTCATGAAGGTGGTAACAATAACTCTCACGTTTATGCTTACCTTTTTTACAAGTTATTTGTTAGTAATCAGCTTTATTTTCTTTATTGAGAATATAGATAGCCTCCTGAAAACTGCTCTGAAGAAGAACTGGTACCTCAGTTCCAAGAATGTCGGTAGATGAGACTGTAATGATAAATGGAACACAGACTGTATTGTCCTACTTTGATTACGAAGTACTAAGGATCGCTCACAGTGCTGCATTTTTTCCGATATCTCTAGTTTCATTGGTTGGAAACATCTTTATTGGATTAATTGTCTACAAGACAAAATCCCTGAAAAAGCCAGTCAACTATTTTATTGCAAACATGGCCATGTCAGATCTGGTGTATCCGATTTCCATGCTTACTCGTGATGTAGCTTCATTATTCATCAGCGACTCCTGGTTGTTCAGCGGTCCTCTCGGGCAAGCATTGTGTAAGCTGGTCTCCTTCTCAATAGAAGTCTCCACTCTTGTTTCATCTCAGAGTCTGGTTCTTATCGCAGTCGATCGATTTGGAACTGTAGTTTTTCCCCTCCGTTCCCCACTGATCAGTTTAAACAAGTGCCGCTTCTTCATTCTCGCCACTTGGATCATTGCCATGGTTGTTAGGTGCCCGATTCTGTTCTTCTTTGAGGTTTTAGAGTGTCCAGACGGGCTGGAATTTACGCCGCTGTGGTCTCCGTTCTTCAAACACTATACTGTGGCAATGATCGCCGTCGTCTTTTATGTCCCATTAATATTGATCACCATACTTTACCTTACCATCGCTTTAACAATCAAATCTCAGAAAACTGCGGGCGAACAATCAGTCAGCAGGAGAGAACAATGTTTAAAGAGAGCGAAAATCGTTGGGAAGACCTCTATTGCTATCGTGTCAGCATTTACAATGGGCTGACTGCCACTCAGTATCTGGTGGTTGGTGTACTTCTATTCATCAGACAAAACAGTGATATGGTCTTGTGAATTTCAATATTTCACGGAGATTGTCCGATTTCTTATGTACTCATACTGTGCTATAAACCCCTGTATCTGTTTTGTATGCATTGAACATTATTGCCAGGGTCTTAAAAATCTCCTCAGCTGTTTCTGTACGGCGCCCAGGGCGCCATAACTTGATCAAGTTGCACCGCCGTAGCTTAAGCTCCGCACTATAAAATCTAGATGATGTCTTGATGTCTACGGAGGAGAAGTTACTTTTCTTTGCATGGAGTTTGATTTTCACACACCCAGTTGAAAAATATGTCAACATCGTAGCACCTTTAGAAACTAACAGTACTATAGTCGAACTTGTATTCAGCGGTCACAATGCAAGTTGACCGCTTAATCCAAGTTCAGTTGTACTTCTTCGGAGAGTCAGTAAACGGAGTACTTTCAACAGGGAAGTTTGGTGTTATAAATAAATTAACAAGTTAGTGAAATTAACTCCACGAAAAGATGCACAAGACTTAAAGCAAGAAGCGTATTTCTGTCTGAATGGATTTCAATATAAAGTAACTAATTAAAGCAAAATTTCGCTGCTTTGTCTGTTCAGTTCTTATATTAAAAGTTTGGGTTCAGAGCCAAAGATTGGTTAAAAAAACTGAGGGAAATTAATGTTTGCCTAAAACAACTTCAGCGATACGGTTCATCGAAACCGATATTTATTCTTTTTTACTCTTCGTCCTTTTGTTCTTCTTTGAAAGTCATATCACCCGGTACTTTGGTTTTACCACGGGGACTGAATTTTGTTGCTCAGCGATGTTTACATTTTGAATAGATGGCCTCGCCGAAGCACAGAAGGTTAATGAGCGTATGCGGTCGTTGAAGTCGGTTAAAGCAACGGAAATATGATCTTTGCTCGAATACAGAAACAAGATTAAAGGATAAATTTACATCGTAAGCCATATGAATTCTGTCATGTAAATTTGTTAAATTATTACAAGTTCTCCTGGTGACTTATGAAACCATACCATTTTTCTCGCATATAGGAAATCGGCTTTGTCCCGGCTGTTTCCTTCCCTTTTATTACAACTTCGTGACAGTTTTCTTTAAAACTCCAACCAGTCTACTGAGCAACAAGACTAATGAGTAAGCTCAGGCTGGATTAAACTTTCAATGGCAACATAATTGAAAATAAATTCTGAATTGAAAAGAACATTGTAGATCTTTTCGCTACCAGCTGTCAACCGTTATTCTATATCAGTAAACATCTGCGGCTGGGCTATTTCTGGAGCCATTGGAACAATATTGATAATGATTTTAAAAACTCATATAAGATGGGCTCCTGCTCATAAACTTGAAAATATTTGAAAAAGCATATCGATTGCCTAATTTCGAACAACGGCTGATTCCAACTATACTTTTCTTAGTTAGAGGTCTCAGGTTAAGACTGTCTATTTTCTAAAATTTTCCTGGGTTTGTTCATTAGTTAAACATGTGAAAGTTTGATTGATCTATACAAGATGAATAGGTTGTGTTTTCATCCAGCAGAGCTTAAGTACCCACCGCAGGGCTGTTGGCGGAAGAAAAACCTGATCTCCTGGCATCGAAAAAATGTGGCCAAATGTGACCGAAATGATGAATGGAATTTGAAGATAAAGACAGATTAATTAAGTTATTATGACAGAGCTAGTTTACCATAAGGTTGTTTTGTAGCTATTGTTTTTGTAGTTAAATAGGGCGAATGATAGGTTTATGTAAATCATCTTGAAAGTCATTTCAAAACAGTGACATCATTAGTCAAGAAGAACACGGAACTTCAATTTCTAAGATTGATCTTTCCAGCACTAATCGTAGTTTTATTTCAATTAGCGCTAAACTTAAATCATCTGCACAGATATCTTGTCTACTGGTATTCATTTACCAATCATACCAAAAGGTTAGAAAGAATTATAGAATTCAAAATCATTTTTTGAGTACAGACTGTAAGTCGAAATTAACTGAAAGTAAAATGATATCTGAAGATTCTTAGTTAATCAATTTTTAATGTATACGTAGACAGTCGTCTCTGCTTTATTTAAATAGGGTATAGGCAGCCTCTCAATTAAGAGCTCCTGGCATACGACTAAGGATTCAGAGTCAGACAGAGAACTGTTGGCCGAAGAAGAAACCGATAATCGGATGCCGCATGAGGACTAAGACTTTTTACTTTGTCGCACGCTCGTGACAGGACGAAAACCTCTTTCTTCCAGAAATTTATATGTCGAGAATAACTTTTGGATCCGTACCTGAAAAAGATTGTTTCCCCCAAACGACCAATCGTTGATTGGTTTTACAGTGTGGATACAGCTATTTTGAAAGAGTAGCTCGGTAAAAACTGTGAGTCAGCTTTGTTTTCTTTACTGAGGATATAGGTAGCTTCCTGAGGACTGCTCTGAAGAAGAACTAGTATTTCGGCTCCAAGAATGTCGGTGAATGAGACGGCAGTGGTAAATGAAACACAGAGCGTGTCGTCCTGCTTTAATTACGAAGTACTAAGGATCGCTTACATCGCTGCCTTTTTTCCGATATCTTTAGTTTCATTGGTTGGAAACATCTTTATTGGAATAATTGTCTACAAGACGAAATCCCCGAAAAAGCCAGTCAACTTTTTTATTGCAAACATGGCCATGTCAGATCTGCTGTATCCGATTTTCATGCTTCCTCGTGATGTAGCTTCATTATTCATCAGCCGCTCCTGGTTGATCAGCGGTCCTCTCGGCCAAGCATTGTGTAAGCTGGTCTCCTTCTCAATAGAAGTCTCCGTTCTTGTTTCATCTCAGAGTCTGGTTCTTATCGCAGTCGATCGATTTGGAACTGTAGTTTTTCCCCTCCGTTCCCCACTGATCAGTTTAAACAAGTGCCGCTTCTTCATTCTCGCCACTTGGATCATTGCCATGGTTGTTAGGTGCCCGATTCTGTTCTTCTTTGAGGTTTTAGAGTGTCCAGACGGTCTGATATGTAGGCCATTGTGGTCTCCCTACTTCAAACACTATACTGTGGCGATGATCGCCGTCGTCTTTTATGTCCCATTAGTTTTGATCACCATACTTTACCTTACCATCGCTTTAACAATCAAATCTCAGAAAACTGCGGGCGAACAATCAGTCAGCGGGAGAGAACAACGTTTAAAGAGAGCGAAAATCGTTGGGAAGACCTCCATTGCTATCGTGTCAGCATTTACAATGGGCTGGCTGCCACTCAGTATCTGGTGGTTGGTGTACTTCTATTCATCAGACAAAACAGTGATATGGTCTTGTGGATTTCATTATTTCACGCAGATTGTTCGATTTTTGATGTACTCATACTGTGCTGTAAACCCCTGCATCTGTTTTATATTCATTGAACATTACCGCCAGGGTCTTAAAAATCTCCTCAGCTGTTTCTCTACGGCGCCCAGGGCGCCATAATCAAGTTGCACCGCCGTAGTTTAAGCCCCGCACTATAACAGTACAATAGTCGAACTTGTATTCAGCGGTCACAATATAAGTTGACCGCTTAATTCAAGTTCAGTTGTACTGCTTCAGAGAGTCAGTAAACGGAGTACTTTCAACAGGGAAGTTTGGTGTTATAAATAAATTAACAAGTTAGTGAAATTAACTCCACGAAAAGATGTACAAGACTTAAGGCAAGAAGCGTATTTCTCTCTTAATGGATTTCAATATAAACTAACTAATTAAAGCTAGATTTAGTTGCTTTGTCTATTCAGTTCTTATATTAAAAGTTTGGGTTCAGAGCCAAAGATTGGTTAAAAAAACTGAGGGAAATTAACGTTTGCCTAAAACAACTTCAGCGATAAGGTTCATCGAAACCGATATTTATTCTTTTTTACTCTTTCGTCCTTTTGTTCTTCTTTGATAGTCATATTACTTGTACTTTGGTTTTACCGCGGGGACTGAATTTTGTTGCTCAGCGATGTTTACATTTTGAATAGATGGCCTCGCCGAAGCACAGAAGGTTAATGAGCGTATGCGGTCGTTTAAGTCGGTTTAAGCAACGGAGATATGATCTTTGCTCGAATACAGAAACAAGATTAAAGGATAAATTTACATCGTAAGCCATATGAATTCTGTCATGTAAATTTGTTAAATTATTACAAGTTCTCCTGGTGACTTATGAAACCATACCATTTTTCTCGCATATAGGAAATCGGCTTTGTCCCGGCTGTTTCCTTCCCTTTTATTACAACTTCGTGACAGTTTTCTTTAAAACTCCAACCAGTCTACTGAGCAACAAGACTAATGAGTAAGCTCAGGCTGGATTAAACTTTCAATGGCAACATAATTGAAAATAAATTCTGAATTGAAAAGAACATTGTAGATCTTTTCGCTACCAGCTGTCAACCGTTATTCTATATCAGTAAACATCTGCGGCTGGGCTATTTCTGGAGCCATTGGAACAATATTGATAATGATTTTAAAAACTCATATAAGATGGGCTCCTGCTCATAAACTTGAGAAATTGTCCCTTTTGCCGACAATATTTGAAAAAGCATATCAATTGCCTAATTTCGGACAACGGCTGATTCCAATTATACTTTTCTTAAGACTGTCAATTTTCTAAAATTTTCCTAGGTATGTTCATTAGTTAAACATGTGAAAATTTGATTGATCTATACAGGATGGATAGGTTGTGTTTTCATCCAGCAGAGTTTAAGTACCCACCGCAAGGCTGTTGGCGGAAGAAAAACCTGATCTCTTGGCATCGAAAAAATGTGGCCAAACGTGACTGAAATGATGAATGGAACACAGTCCACGTCGAGCTGCTTCAACCTCACAGCAAAAAGAATTGGTGAAACTTTAGCCTACTGTCTGCTGTTTATTGTGTCGCTGGCTGCGAAGACCTTCATTAGAATGATTGTCTATAGGGCGAAAACTCTGAGAACACCAATCAAAATTTTGGTTGTAAACATGGCAATCTCCGATCTGTTGTTTCCGATTTTCCACTTTCCTAAAATTTCTGTAAAGATAAACACAGCTGGCCACTGGCCAAGCGATGAGTAAACTGAGTTCCTTTGCTACAGATTTCTCAGCTTTAGAGTCAGTTCAGAGCCTGCTGTTGATCGCAGTGGATCGATTTGGGACTGTAGTATTCCCTCTCCGTTTCCGTGGATCATCACCATGGCTACATTCATCCCGTATCTGCTCGCGTTCAAACTGGTCGAATATCATCATGAGTACAAGTGTGTGCAGCAATGGATGCATGTTTTAGACGATTCCTCGTCGGTGACAAAATACTTTATGGCACTTTTTATTGCATTTTTTTATATTCCCTTCGTTCTGATGTTTATTCTATATCTTGCGATTTTTTTGAAACTGAAGTCCCAGAGAGGACCAGGCGAACACTCGATGAACGCTCAAATTCAGCGCTGAAGCTTTCCATTGCTATTGTGTTAGGGTTCGCTGTAAGCTGGATTCCATTCAGTATTTTTACATTGGTACGTTTGTTTGCAGATAAAATCAATACTACAATGTCTTGTGGAATCAAACAGTTATTCGAGCAAGTTGCTCTGCTACTGAGTCGAACAAGCAGCGCTGTGAACCCCTGCATCTGTTTTATTTTCAGTGGACATTATCGCCAAGGTCTTAAGAATCTCCTCGGCTGCTTTTGAGTTTCCAGGGCTAATAAAGATGCAATGTAACATCATAGCAGCCGCTTTGGAATATAATAAGAATTGTTTGTAAACTGAACTGAAACTAAATTAAATACATCGTTATAAGAAGTAAAGAACATCCACACTAAGGGGTTTAGAAACGAATCTGTTGCCGAAAAAACATTTTTTTCCTAGGGGTGTACCGTTGATATGCATTAAGGAATCCTGTCAACGTTGCATTAGAAACAACCATGAATAAAACATATTAATCAAGTAGTATCTGATAAAATCTTACAGTCATGTGCATTGGAAAGGGTTTTAATTCCTGTCGGATATGGAATATCATCTTCATTTGGATTATATTATAAATACTAACAGAACACAGGGAGAAACATCATTTTATCAATCACTTTATCGTAGATATGACCATATCAGATGTATTAATCCAAATTTTCTAGATTTTCTTTTTTTGTGAGGAAACATTTACTGTGCATCATATATTGCTTACTTCTGGTAAGAATACAATGTGAGAAAGTTTTTAATTTGGCCTCGTTTGTTCAAACAGGTGCTCATACTGGTAAAACATTAGCAAACACTTACATGGAGATTCAGAAATAGGACGCGATATGCTGGCGACATCATGACGCATTATCAAATAGTTGATTCTCTCAATCGTATATTGTGGGTGGAAAAATATCTGAAAGAGGAAAGCGACTGACAAGAGAATATAAACATTTAATATTCCCTTGCTACTGATTAAACAATTCTGTTCGAAAAGATAAAGGGGTAAGTTTCTAAAGAAACTGTGGTGCTGCGTCGGTGGGAGAGTATAGCAGGTAATTTAGTGTTAACAACTTGGTTGAAAACGTAAATTAGCCACCGTAAAGGGTAAAAAAGCTGACGTTTCGAGCGTTAGCCCTTTTTTACCCTTTACGGTGGCTAATTTACGTTTTCAACCCAGTTGTTAACACTAAATTACCTGTTCAAAAAGAGTCCGCTTGTTGACGTCTGTCAGATCTCTTTTCTTTATTTCGATTAGTAACATTTAGTAAATAAAGTTTCCTTGTCTTCCCTCCCCCTTAATTTCTTCATGAATCTCGCCTGTCGGAGGCCTACAGTCAGCAAAGACAGGCGAGGAGGTAGGCGCATAAAAGATGGCACGCAGAGGTTTCCTTGAACGTAGTTTCGTTTTATATTTCTTAATTGAAAGAAGAGAAAGGGCTGCCAATGTTCCATGACTCACTTATTTAGTACAAGATTGTCGAGAAATCATGACTAGTTAATGAGATGAAAGAGATCACGGATTCTTTTACACTTTACCCCCCTATAATTCTGATTAAGATTTCATATATAATATAAACATATTCAAATTAAATAAAGACAGACGAAAAGATATGAACATGTTCAAATAAAGACAGACGGAACTTAATCACTTCTTACTACAGGCTTCAGATGACACCCAGTTTTCATGGAGCATAATGGGGGACGAATTTTAAAAATGTCTTTTTCCTTTACACTTTGGCCGTCAGAATCAAGAAAATGTCAGATCTGTGAAATAAAGTCATCTGTGTCGGAAATTCGCTCTTGTGTAATTGTATGAGAATTTCCCAAATGCTTCTGGTGGAAAAAGAAACATTATCTATTCATCAGACAAAACAGTGATATGGTCTTGTGGATTTTAATATTTCACGGAGATTGTCCGATTTTTTATGTATTCATACTGTGCTGTAAACCCCTGCATTTGTTTTATTTCCATTGGACATTACCGCCAGGGTCTTAAAAATCTCTTCAGTCTCCATAGCGCTAAGGGCTAATCAGGTTGCGCCGCCGTAGCTAGGCCCCGCACTATAAAATGCTCATCAGTCGTAATCAAGGATAAATTTCGTACTGACCGTTTTAATCAGAACTTAAGGAAAGTCAAGTTTACAGTAAAAAAATATCTTTTTAGTAAAAGTTCTTAGTTGAATAACAAAGGTGAACTTTGTCGATTGTCAGTTTGATGTTTTTAAAAACTATGATGATAAAGACGTTCATTGGTCCCTCTTGAAACTGATCGCTCATTTGCATTCAGCGGCATGTCAAAAAATCAGAAGAAGATAAGAAGCCAGGTATAAAAGCTTAATTTTTTATCACGGAAAATCTTGTTAAACTCAAGAAACTTTATAGGAGTTTTGGTGACGAAAATAAATTAACAAGTTAGTGAAATTAACTCCCCGAAAAGATGTACAAGACATAAAGCAAGAAGCGTATTCCTTTCTGAATGGACTTCAGTATAAACTAACTAATTCAAGCAAAATTACGCTGCTTTGTCTGTTCATGCAGTTCTTATTTTAAAAGTTGGGTTCAGAGCCAAAGGTTGGTTAAAAAAAGGGAAATTATCGTTCGGCCTAAAACAACCTTAGGGATGCGGTTCATCGAGACCGATATTTATTCTTTTTTTTACTCTTTCGTCTTTTTGTTCTTCTTTGATAGTCATATCACCTGTACTTTGGTTTTACCGCGGAGACTGAAATTTGCCGCTCGGCGATGTTTACATTTTGACTAGATGGACTTGCCGAGGCACATATGGTTGATGAGCCAATGCAGTCGTTTAAGTCAACTATTTATCTCCATTTGCTATTATGCTTTTTAAATCGAAAGAAAGAAAATGCAAAATTTGTACAGAGCGGCTTTACGATACAAATGGCCGGAATACTTTGAAATTCGTTAAATAGAAAGTGACTTATTAATTGAGCTGACAGTTGGAAATTCCCAAAAAGGAATGTTTACACGAAAAGGAGTCTCGCAATATGCAAAGGTGTTTGAAGATAAAGACCG